TCATGTTCCCCGGTGAAGCAGGGACAGGATTTAACCGAGCTCTTCCCGGGGTGCCTGCTTGTCTCCGTCAGGCGTGATCACTGAATGAAAGACAAAGTTAACTGTTAGATTTGTAGATTTGTCAGAGAAAGCTGTGGACACTTTCCTCTCCCTCTTTTTTTTTCTTTCTCTTTTTTTTTTCCTTTTTTTTTTTTTTTTTTAACTCCCTCTGTTGCTGTATTCCGTCCTGTATTTCTCTGGACAGCACAGGCTTTGGGAAGCCCCGGCTGAAACCTTTTTTCCGTGCCAGGGAGGCCGGATCGCCTCCCCTCTCCCCTCTCCGACCGCTTCACCTGCTTTCCCCGCCAGCAGAAACGCCCTCCCGCCCCGTGGCGGGGCGGTCATTCCCAGCCCGGCTTCCCAGCACTAAATTCCAAACTCTGCAGCACCAATCGCGTCTGGGTCTGCCTGCGAGAATTCAATAAACAAGCTGCATTAACTCCAACCAGAATTTATCTCGTAGACTGATGGAATTTGTCTCTTTTTTTTCCTTCTTCTCCCTTCTGCTTCCTTCCTCCCCCTCCAAGGCCTCATATTCACCACTCAAAATTTAGCAGCCTGCCTTTGATAAATTACTCAAAGTAATCCCTGCAACAGCTAAGTCTGACTGGTTGACGTTGTGTTAGAAGTCTTCATAGCGGTATCTGTCTATAAAATATTCACTTGTGGACTACAAAGGGTGGATCATTTTTAATGACAAGATTCAGAACTGGAGGATGAAGGGAAAAGATTAATATCCGTGAATTCAAATAATTTAATTTCAAATACTGAACTTAGAACATTATATCCGACTAGTTTAAACAGTGAAGCAGATAAAATAGCAGAGCTTCACATGAATGAAGTGGCCGGAAGAATAGAGTTGTGGGGAATGTTGGAAATGAACATTAATGCAAACTTTACCAGAACTTTTTTCCCCTATTTTTTTTAATTTTACCTCTTTCTATCTTCTGGGATAATCAGTATTCTAGCAGGGCAAAAATGTATATGGTATTACACGTGTGCATGTGTATATCTATATGTGCAGGGAGAATTTCTTTCCTCTAGAGATAGGTGGAGAAATCTATTTAGATGGCAGATTTTAATTTCAATGGGTAATGTGAGCTTGTGCAATCAAAGTTATCAATTTCTGTCCTTTTTGTTTAGATTTCTTAGTTAAATGTGTTTGTTGTATCTACCCCGAGGAGAAGCAACTTGAAAGTGTAGCTTTTGAGTCATCTTATAAATACATCCCTGAGGCTGCGGTTCTTGCAGCTTTAAGCAGTTTTCATTAAAGCCGCCAGCTGCCTCTTTGTGTAGATTGGATTTTTTTTAAGCAATCACTTGTGAAGCCCCGGCCTCAGTTTTGTCTCTCCGCAGGCCCTTAAGGTTGAAGTTTCATTCATGCCTTGGGTCCCTCCACCGAATCAGACTCCTTGGAGCAACACTGGAAAGAGCCACACGAAAGCTCAGGCTTGAATACCTCGTAGAGAAAGGTTAAAAGGGAAGCAGAGATCAAAACAATCCCATCTCACAAAAGGTGCATTAAATGCGCCCCAGCAATAAGCACAAATCTTCCAAGCTGGCCTTTAAAGGGAGCACCGGGAGCCTCACGTTTATTGCACCCAGCAATTCTCCGAGAGCCTCGCCGTGTCTTTGCACTCCTGGCGCATTTCCTCCTAAAACAACATCTAATGGGAAGATAATAGAGACGCAGAAAGGAGGCGCGGGGATCCCCTCCCCCCCCCCCCCTTTCCTTTCAGCTGCCTGAATATATCTCAAGGCTTGGAGACCAGAGTTTCAAATAAGCTTTTCACCTCTAACAGAGCAGGCAGACGCAATGTATGCTGTCCACCCTAGGAACGCAGCACCCAGAGCGCTGTCCCAGTCCCCGGACCCGGGATGCTGCTGAGCGGTGCCCGGGAGCCGAGGCTCGCTGGGAAAGAGCCGTGCTCCTGCTTTGCTACTGGAAATGCAGCTTTCTCTCCGGCACGCGGGGGGTGGAAGCACCAGGGAGCCCCGCACCTCGCACGCCGGAGCCCGCTGCAGGAGCCCGAGGCGGCTGGCTGGCTAGGGACACCGGGAGATGAGGCGGGTGGCCCGGCGTGGGGTGCCGGGGGGTCCCGGGGAAGGCCAGCCCCCCTCTGCATGCACCTGATGTGTATGCAGCACCTCGCCTCATAGCCAGGAGAGAGCTCCAGTGAAGTGGCGCTCTATGTATTTTATAGCGAATATTCTCGAGTAGCTGCACTGCAATGAAGGAGATATCAAGGAGGCCTGTCAGTTCAAAGCTTTTGGGGTTGTTTGAAAATCTTCTTCACGTCAAAGTAAGCAGCCCTAGTATTTGAACAGCTGCTTTGAACAGTGAAAAGGGCTGAGCTGAATCAAAACACTGCAGTGTCTGCCCAAGACACCGCATCACCTTCAACCTGCTTTTATGCGAGCAGAGAAAAGGAAAGAAAGGCTGGTGAGACCTCTAATCCCGCGGGGTCAGCTCCGCCAGAAAGGGGCCGCATGACTGTTTCTTTCACATCCCCAGCGCCCCGAACCCGACCGGCCGCCAGAGCCCGCGGCGGGCATCAGCGGTCGGGCGCTCGCTCCCTGGCTCTCCCCTCCCCGGGGGGAGACGGGCGCGAAGGATGCTTAAGGAGCGGTATTAATGACAGGGCTAACAATGATAGGGAGGACGAGGAGGTGGAGTCTGCGGCGGCTCTGAATGCACCGGCCGCGCTCCTCGCTGCTCCCAGCTGCGACTCCATGGGCGTGCGTTCCGCCGAGGAGGGAGCAGGAGGGATGGCGAGGGGCTTTGCTGCCGGGCTCAGGTTTTGTCCGCCTCCTAATGCCGTGCTGCTACTTCGGTAATTATCTGGTTACCGTTAGCCTCTGAGCTCCGCCGCTGGGCAAAAAGGGGCACGCAGGACGGTGACCGCAGGCATCACCTGCCAGGCGGCCGGCCCCGAAGGAGGGCCGGGGGGGTTGCACGACAGGAGCAGGGCTGGCGGGGGGGGGGGGGGTCTCCCCAAAAGTAAAGCGATGGCTGGAGCTAGCTGAGCCACGCGTCCCATTTCCTCGCCGGGGAGGGCGGCGCTGCAGGCACCCCTCCGGCACCGGTTGTCCGTGGGGCGCACACATGCCATGGGGCCGGGGCACAAGGCGGTTTTCTTGGGCAGTCACTGTAGCTGGTGGCCGCAGCCTGGAGGCGCCCTCGTGAAAACCTAGCCCTGGAAATGACCTGTGGCGTGGCCTCTCATGTCTCATCCACGCATGAACTTTTGGAAGCGGCCGTGGAAGCGGGCTGGAGAGAAAGCCGCCCAGGGAGAGCCTCGGCGGCTCCCGGGAGCAGGGCGGGAGGGCTGGCCCTGGAGCAGGGCGGCTCTCCCAAGACGGTCCCCGAGATGCTTTAGCGGAAGCCTGCTGCGGACTTGCGCGGTTGTTTTGTTTCAGCTCACTGGTCTACACCTAATTGGGAGGAAGGAGACGGGAAAATGAGCATCAAATTATAAAATTCCTGGGTGCCCAGTTGTTTCCACACGGGAAACAAAAGACAGAGCTTCACTTCAGAGACACTGACTTCCCTCTTCTCCACACTGGCAGAACAGGCAGTATTGTTCTTCCCTTCGCTTGCACCTCACGAAAGGGGGGGGGGGGGAAACCCTTAAGAGGAATCTCCACTCTTTCATGGACAAAGTTTGTGTCAGTATCCCCCCTCCTCCTCCTCTTCTTCCTCCTCCGTCCCCACCCCCCGGCAGAAGGAGCTCTTGATACGTCGCTAAACTAACGAAACGAGGTAACTCCTGCTGCGCCCCTTGTCTCAGGGCACTGGATATCCTGTTTATGCCGCTGCTGCTGTGTATATGTTTATGTGCGGAAGCCCATCCCCCCGCTCCTCCATACCCCCATGCAGAGGAATATTTCCAGGCAAGGAGCCTTTCCAGCGCTCACGCTAAATACGATGATTTATAAACAACTCGCAGAAGAAAGCTGTTTCTTGTTAGCAGTAATAAATTCCCCAGTCCGCCCTATTGTATTATCTCGATGAGGATAGCGGGAGCCTGCGGCGCGCACCTACCCCCGTGAGCGGTTTATTTCGAGACAAAGCTATGGCTTCCAGCTCAGAAATGGGCACCCAACTCTTTCCAGGGCGGCCAGCCGGGTGCTGCTCACTCCTAGGAAATCCGGATCCAGTTCCAGGGTCTCCTTCCTTCCTGTCCGGGCCGCAACTTCTCTTTTTAATATTTTTTTTTTTCCCCTATCCCTCTTTTTTCCCTATTTTCTTTTCTTTCTCTCTCCATTCCCCCCTTTTCTCCTCTCCCACCTCCCTCCCCCAAAATCTTCCATACCGATGCAGATCCGCCTGCCCGGACCCCCGGCAGGCACCCGATACCGCCGGGACGGGACAAGCGGAACAATGCCACTCCGGTGGTGCAGAGGTGCGAAGCCCCGACATCCCGGGCAAAGCGGTACGCTCCGGGGAGCACCGGGCGCCCCGGACCGGGCGGGCAGGGAGGGGGCCTCGCGCTCCTCGCCCCGGCGGCGCGGCGGCGCTCCGCGGCCCCGCCGGCGGTCCTAGCTGCCTGCGCTAGGGAAGAGAAAGTTGGGGGCTGTCGGGCTGAGGTCCGCGCAAGGACCCGGGCCGGGAGCGCGCAACAGGAGCCAGCGGGCGGACCGGCGACAGCAGCCTCCCGCCAGCGGAGAGCAGAGGCGCTGGGCCGGCGGGGCGGGCCGAGGCGGGGCCGGCGGCGGAGCAGCCCCCCCCCCCCCTCCCTCCCCAACCCCTTCTGAGATTCCCTCCCGGTACCCGCCCCGCGCCCGGTTCCCCCTCGGAGTTGGGTTCCAGAGGGCGGGCAAGGGGCGGGGCTGTGGGCGGGGCTTCGCGGCCAGTTGTCGCCAATGGCGGCTGGCGGCGGCGGCGGTCGCCAGGAGCCCCCGCGTCCGTCAGGGCGCGCTGAGCCAATGGCGTGCGGCGGCGGGGCGGGGCGGCCGCGCGTGCCTTCGCAGTGGGCCCCGCCGCGCGGGCCGGGGGGGCGCGGGCGCCGCGCGGCGCCCGAGGCGAAAAAGTAGCTGTCAAATGCGCGGCGCCTTTAACCGGCGCGATCAGTGCGGCTCGGCGAGTCATGGCGACCGCAGCCTCCAACCACTACAGCCTGCTCGCCTCCGGCTCCCCCATGGTGCACGCCGAGCCGCCCGGCGGCATGCAGCCCGGCGGCGGCTACCGCGACGCCGGCGCCCTGGTGCAGGCGGACTACGCGCTGCAGAGCAACGGGCACCCGCTGAGCCACGCTCACCAGTGGATCGCGGCGCTGTCCCACGGCGGCCCCGGCGGCGGCGGCGGCGGCGGTGGCGGCGGCGGCGGGGGAGGCGGCGGCGGCGGCGAGGCGCCCTGGTCGGCGGGCGCGCTGGGCCAGCCCGACATCAAGCCGGCGGTGGTGCAGGCGGGCGGGCGCGGCGACGAGCTGCCGCCGCCGCAGCACCCGCCGCCGGGGCGGGCGCCGCACCTGGTGCACCACGGCGGCGGCGGCGGGCACCACGCGGCGGCGGCGGCGGCGGCAGCGGCGGCGTGGCGGGCGGGCGGCGCGGCGCACCTGCCGCCCGGCATGGCCGCGGCCAACGGCGCGCAGGCGGGGCTGCTGTACTCGCAGCCGCCCGGCTTCACCGTGAACGGCATGCTGGGCGCCGCGCAGCCGGCGCTGCACCACCACGGCCTGCGCGATGCCCACGAGGAGCCGCCGCCGGGGCCGCCCGGGCCGCCGCACCACGGCCCCGAGCACCCGCCGCCGCCCCACGGCCCCCACCCCGGGGCTGCCGGCCCCGCGTCCGCCTCCGCCGCCGCCTCCGCCGCGCCGCCCGGGCCGCCGCCGCACCACGACCCGCACTCGGACGAGGACACGCCGACCTCGGACGACCTGGAGCAGTTCGCCAAGCAGTTCAAGCAGCGGCGCATCAAACTGGGATTTACCCAAGCGGACGTGGGGCTGGCGCTGGGCACCCTCTACGGCAACGTCTTCTCGCAGACCACCATCTGCCGCTTCGAGGCCCTGCAGCTCAGCTTCAAGAACATGTGCAAGCTGAAGCCTTTGTTGAACAAGTGGTTGGAGGAGGCGGACTCCTCCTCGGGCAGCCCCACCAGCATAGACAAGATCGCGGCTCAGGGCCGCAAGCGGAAAAAGCGCACCTCCATCGAGGTGAGCGTCAAGGGCGCGCTGGAGAGCCACTTCCTCAAGTGCCCCAAGCCCTCCGCCCAGGAGATCACCTCGCTCGCGGACAGCCTACAGCTGGAGAAGGAGGTGGTGAGAGTGTGGTTTTGTAACAGGAGACAGAAAGAGAAGCGCATGACTCCCCCGGGAGGGACGCTGCCGGGAGCCGAGGACGTGTACGGGGCCAGCAGGGACACGCCGCCGCACCACGGGGTGCAGACCCCCGTGCAGTGAACTCGCGGCGGGGGCGCCCGGCCCCTCCTCCTCCTTCTCCTCCTTTTCCTCCTCCTCCTCTCCTCCTCCTTCCCCCAACTTTTGATTGTCCTCCTTTTTTCTTTTTTGTTTTTCTTTTTTTTTGTTGTTGTTGTTTTAATTTTCTCCTATCTTTGACAAAAAAGACAAAAAACAAACAAAAAACAAACAAAACAAAAAAAACCGAACAAAAACGCGGGGAAAAAAAAAAAGAAAAAAAAAAGAAAAACAAAACAAAAAGCGAGCGAGAGGGCGAGCGCGAATCACAGCAGACAGACAGACAGACAAAGCACCTGCACCGGACTATCCCTTAGACGGTAGCGGGTGCGATGCTGGATTTTGACCTTTCCAGGCGAGTGCCCGTGCACCGGAGTGGAGTGAGTACCGCGCACAGGCAGGCAGGCAGGTACCGGTAGAGCAGCGGCAGACATCGGCTGGGCACCGGCGGGGCGAAGCTGTTCGCACTAAACTCCTTTGCCCTCTGGAGACAAAATCCGGCGCTGCCCGGCAGGGGAGAGGGCGGGAGGGGAGATGGGAAAGGTTGGAGGGGTGGAGGGGGCAGCAACCTCGGGTCCCCTCCGCAGCCCCCTCCAGCCACACAAAGGCAGATTGCATTGTGGAATGTCGCTCGGTGTTGGCACATGCTGCTGTGTTTATTTTCTGTGGATCCCCTGTAGGAATATATGAAAAAAAAAGGAAAAAAAAAAAAAAAAGAAAAAAAAAGAGAACGGAAAAGCTCTCCCTTTTGATGTAGACAGTATTTAACCGTACAATTTGCACTGCAAGAAAATCGAAGTTTACATAAACAAATTCTTTTATTTTTTTTTCTTTATATTTCCCCCCCTTCCTTTCCGACCTTGATTTTGCAAATGACTTGCATTTTCCATGGTGAGCGTTAGTCAACCAGTGACCGGTCTACAATATGTTACTGTGTTCTAGCCTTTGCTTTATGTGTATATGTGAACTTTTGTTATAAACAAGTCTTCTTAAATATGTGTAACGCTTATTTTCTCCTTTTACCGTAGCAGAAAGAATGCGTATATCTGTATGTATGTACACATATGCATGCGTGCATAGACGTACATATATACACATATATTTAATCTCGCTATATACACATATATATATGCAGCACAAGCTTCCATTCTCCAGAGACGTGACTCTCGTAATTGCTTAATATACGCCTTCAACGGCAAGAGTCGAGCTTGGAGAAGGGAGAATAATGCGAATGGACAAAGTAAACTTCATTTTCAGGCAGTGTGGCCGGGGGCCGAGGTGCAGCCGGAGGGGTAGGAAACCAAAATCGCATGCAGCCTTCCCAAACTGTGGCAGTGCGGGCGAGCAAGGCCCGGAGTGGGAAAGGCAGAGGCGAAACAGCACGTTTCCAGAGTTTTCCCGGAGAAAGTGGCACTTCCTTGAGAGGGAAAGGGGATTGTTTAGCTTCACCTCCCTCCACCTCTTCCAGCTCCTTTCCCCTCCTCCCTCCTGCTCCCCGAGCGTGCCTTGGGCATCCCGGTGCCCCGCACGGGCCGATGTCCGCCTCCAAACTTTCTTTCCTTGAGGACTTTCGCATCAAGGCAGAGCCAGAAAGAGCACGAGGGAAGGTGTGTGTGTATGTGTGTGATTACACCTGTGTGTAAACACACGCTGCCTCCTCCTCCCCGCAGAGACCGTGTGCGCTCCTTTTCCGCTTTTACTTCCCCTATTTCTTTTATTTTTCTGTTTGTATCTAGTCCCTTTCCTACCCATCCCCACCCCCACCCCCACCCGTCCTGCGTTCAGATTGCGGTATCATTTCTTGAAGGAAAGGACCAGTTTTAACTCGGGCAGCCTTGTGTCTTTCACTGGAGAATGAAATGAAGGGGGGGGGGGGGGGGAACAATATACCAGTTTTCAAGCCGTCTTTTCCCTTTCCCCCCCTTCGCTAATAGTTTTAAAGTGCATTTCTTGACATTATCTTGATGGGAAACAGTCAACTTTCAAAAAAAAAAAAAGAAGAAAAAAAAAACCAAACCCAAAACAGCTAGACAAAAGAAGGGAAGAAAGAAAAAAATGGGAAATAAATAGCAACCCCCAAAGCTCTAAAGGAAAGCGGAGGAGCGGGACCTCGGAGCAGCACATGGATGTGCGTGTGCCTGAGTGCGCGTCTGTGCACTTCTGCACACACACAGCTATGCACCCACAGGAGAGGAACTTTCTGATAGTTCTGAATTCATAAAGGGATCATTTAGGCAGCACAAACCGGTGCAACACAGACAGAGCATTTTTATAATCGAAAAGTTTACTTAGTTGAGTGTTGGACAATTGTGGAGAAAAAGAAACAGTGAAGCGTTCTCTCGCAGAACTCTCCTATAAATATTGCATTCAGTAGCTAAGGCTTTAGAGTATGTTTCTCATTGTCTTTCAAAGCGCCTGTGACATTGGGTTTTCTTTCCTTCTTTCTTTCCCTCACCCTTTCTTTCTTTCTCTCTCTCTTTCTTTCTTCTTGGTAAGACAGATGATGATTTCTAAGAGGCACATGATTAGCCTTTTTCCTAGGTTTCCAACAATTGTTACAAAGATACGGGCACCAAGCTTTTCTCTTTTCTCCCCCCCCCCCTTTTTTTTTTTTTTACTTTTTTTGGATGTATTGAGCTGCTTGTTATTTAAAGCGTTGAGGACTAGCGCGTAGTGAAGTGAAGCAGATCAGGGCAGATCCAGTGGTAGAGGGAGGAAATGAACTTTCAGACACTTATTAATACGTGCGTAAGGTCAGAAAACGGAGTCGAGAGGATGTTTGAGAGAAGCCTCAAACTCCAAATAGGTTTACTTAAAAAACAAAACACAAGTTACCACGCAAACCTTACCACTATGTATATATGTTTAATATTTGTCCTTTGAAATGCAGAAATAGTTTCAATGTTTTCTTTGTCTATTTTTCTTTCTTTTTATTTTATTTTTTTTTAAATGCTACCCAGGGAAATATTTTCATATCATTTTTAAGTGGCCTGCCTCAATGTATATTTATTTCTTTTAAAGCAAACAGGTTCTGGAAACTGTTTTTCTGTAGCTTTAAATGAGTAGGTGAACAAAATCTATATGGGATGTAATTTTTTTTCTTTTTTTTTTTTTTTGGTTCAGTCTCTTGAAAAAAAATACTTTGTTTTGGTACATTTGGATGTGCTTGTGGGGAAAAATAAAAACGCAGAGATCCTTATATATTTATGTTAAAGTAATATTTTATTATCTACATAAAACAGAAATGCACAATACCTTCATAGTTTGTTCTAATTATTGAAATATCTTTATTTTATTTTTAAAGATAGCACAGATTTGCATAGTTCTTAAGATTTGGAGGGAAAACACCCCAGTGCTTATACTGAGTTGCGTTCTGTGTAAAAGCACCGCCATTCCTTTATATTTCATGGAATTTTTGGAATAAATTTGATGCCTATAACGAGAGGTTCCACGCTCATAACTTCCAGGGTGTTTTGAAGGAAAGGCTCAGGAGGAGCTGTACTCGTCTTGTCTCTCCGCAGATGACCCGCAGCTGTGTGTTTTGGAGCCTTGGTTTCTGTGCGGGCAGTGGGGTCCTGCCTTCGGTGCTGGCGGGGAGCTCTGCTCCTCAGGGTAGTTGCATGCTCTGGCGGAGGGTGTGTGGGGGACACTCGACTCTTGTCTGTCCCTTTGGATAATTTAAGGTCTGAGTCCTTATAAGAAAAGGACAAAACCAGAAAGGCGGGGCTTCATTGTGGGGAGCGCTGTGAGTGTGCAGAGGAGGGAGGAAAGATGCGGTTGCCCAGCGGGGCTGCGAGCCCCTGGAGCGGGCGGGCGCTCCCCGGGCCGGGCCGCCGGGCCAACGGCACCGGCAGGGCCGAGGCTTTCTCCTTAGAGGTCTGCGGCTCCATGTGTGTAACGACCCGGATCGGTTTTGCCCAGGAGGGGTCCCGGATGGGGACCAGTGGGGCTGGCGCGCTGGGAGTGGCATCCAGCTGAGAAGTGTTCGTTCGCACATGAGGCGGTGTGTTCAGATCCTTTTTGGCTGGCTCGGTTTTCGAGGTGCAATGTTCTTTCCCCTCCCCTCCTTCGGGATAGTTTCTGGGCTTATTAGATTGAATCATCTTTTCTAACTCCTAGTCAATATTACACTCATCCCGAACAGATTCAGCTAAATGATCTTATCAATAGTTTCGAAAAGAAGTGACAGAAAGAAGAAGTGTTTTGTGACCGCAGACGTGCTGACGGGTAAAATGTTGAAGCTGGGTATGGATTTCAAAGTCCTTGGTCAATAGCCCGCGGAACGGGCTGCGGAAAGCGAGCAGCCTCTGCCCTCTGCAGGACACTCGGGTGGGCGCCGGGGGAATAGCTCGCCGTTGAAGACAGGGCCCTGCTGTCGGGGACCGCTCCCCGCGTCGGGGGGACAGGAGGTGGTAGCTTGGCTGGATGGCGCCTTGCTCGGCGGGGCAGGCCCGGCACTGCGGGGATGGCCGCCGGGAGCCGGCGCTGGGGCCGGGCCTCCCACTGTGGAGGCCCCCGGGCTGCTCCTCCCGGGGTCTCTGTCCAGCGAGGAGCTGGCCAGATGGGAACCAGTTCTCTCGTCCTTCCAGGCGGGTTGCGGGCAGTCCGGCAGGTTCGGGGGTCCTTTTCCTTTTTTTCCTTTTCACTATCTTTTGAGAGAAAGAACAGGGGAAACTGCGCGGCCGTAAGATGCACCTTCTGCAGGTGGATGTCAGGGTGCGCGGCGGCTCCCCTACCCTCATTCCCAGAAGGGGCTCTCTGTCGCAGTTCAGATGTCAGCAACAAAAGACCCGCTTCCTTGGCTCGCTCCCTCTGATGAAGGCCGAAACTGGAAGGCGTGAGGAGACTGTATAACCCGTAACTCTTGAGTGATTGCCTCCTTCCGTGTCCCCTGCTCCAGAGGGTGACAGGCCGCTGCTGATGCTGCTCTCTCCGGGCAGGATCTCCCGTAGCCGCCAAGCCCCTACAGTAATCCCGGCAGCGGGCAAGGGAGGGACCAGGACGGGAACCGGGGATTTGAAAGGGAAAAGCGGTAGAAGAGGAAATAGTCGGGCAAATTCCGCAGGTGGGGAGCAGGCCAGGTGATGCTCTTGGGGTGGGCGACTTGGCAGAGCCCCTAAGGGGCCGAGGCCCCTGTTGCCCCAAGCTCTGTCCCGTTGTCTCTCTCTCCCCTTTGGGGTTTTGTTGTCGGTAGTTCCCGGTTCTCCCCCTCCAGTGCCCGGTCTCCCTGGCGCGCTTCTGGCCCTCGCCGGGACGCGTGGGTGCGGCAGGAAGGGTCCGGCTGCCTGAGCTTTCCCGCCCTCCTGACCCAAGCCTGGGACCCCTCTTCCTCCCTCCTGCTGCCTGCCTCTGCCCGCCGGAGCGGCCCCAGGCCCCGGGGTTGTCCCAAGCCGCGCTGCTGGAGGTTTGCTGGCTCTTTGTTCCGGTGCCGTTGGTGCGGAAATTCTCCGGTGCGGGAGGAGGAGAACTGGTGACCCTTCCTCGAGGGGAGCCGATGGCCCCCGGTGGGCCATGGGGCCCGGCGGCGTTGGGAGAGCGGCCACAGGCGGGCCTGCGCGCTGGTCTTAATCAGGCTTAAACCTCTGGGTTTAGATCGAGCCACGGCGGTGGGGGGGGGGGGGGTGGGGTGTCGCGTACATGGGGGTCCCCCCTCCCGAGCCAGCAGGACGCTGTCCGCTGCTTTCCAGCGGGTGAAGAGGGCAGCGACGGCCTCCTCCTGCTTCGAAAATGGAGGCTGGGCGTTGCGATCTGTCCTGGAAAGCATGGCATCCTACCGGGGTCACCTATTTATGTTGTGTTTCAGAAGGAAAGGGGCCTGGGCCGCAACCTCGAGGTGGAAAAGATTAAAAGAACCAACCAATTTTCGTGGTTGCTGGCGCCCAGTTGGTACTCCGTGCTCGGGCATGGCCCAGTTGCCGTCGGGGCGGTAGGAAGATGCTCTGGAGAAGACGGGTTTCACCCTGGCTCGGCCGGGACACCGGGCGGTTCTTTGCA